TTCTAGTACTCTCCCCCCCCACCACACACACACCCTGTAATAGGAAAACAACATCTCTATAATTGGCACTTGACATGCTGTTTGCATTGGACTGTGGTACACCCAGCACAGATTTCCTGCTGATGGAAACATTTATCATTGTGATTGCCCCAGAGTGGCAGGTGGTGTTATCAATTACCTCTTCTTACCAATAATAATATTAGTATGGTAATATCTTTGCTCAAGTGAGAACCAATTAGTGGTCACTTGTCACAGCACTAAAGACACAAAATCACGCTGAATTTAACCCAAAGGACCTAAAAAAAAAGTTGGAGGTGGGAGAGGAACCAAAGGAAAGCAGGAAGGTGGCCAGGGAGTAGGACAAACAAACAAACAAAAACAACAAAAACCAGGAACTTTGTAAGGGAAAAGAATGGAAGAGGACAGAAAACAAACACCCTAATATCTGAATACCTATTTTGTGTGGAGGAGCTGGGGAAATAAACACATTGTAAACAAAATGTCAAGTACACCTATGTAAAACTGTCTGCTGTGAATCCAGAGCCAGGTATCTTCAGCAAACCGTGACTGTGAAGTCACAACCAACTACTCAGCTCCCCTTGTCAAGTCAATCTTGCAGACAGGCTTTCTGTTTTATCTGAAGAAATGATACAAATTAATCCAAACACCTAATTATATGTTCCATTAATGTAAAATATACAGTATTAATTTGTAAATAATATCATTAAGCAGACAAAATAATAACGTGTCACCTCTTAAGATGAAAACAACATTGCAAGAGGAAAGACAATTAACACATTAGATTTAATTATAGGGAGGAATAGCAACTTTTGTTTTTGCAATAGAGCTTAGGTATTACAATATCTTAATATGCAGTGGTCATGTGGTAAGCATTCATGTTAGGTGTGCCTAACGACAGTGGAGCCTCTTCTGCATTAAGCTAGGCACAGCAAGGGAGACTGCTTCCTGCCTCATCTGTGGAAATAATACACAACACATTGTCACTTTGAAATATACTGTTTTGATTAAAGCTTCAGATACAAACTCTTCCATCAAAATTTGCCACACTGGATAAGAACAATGAAGGGTTTCCATATAAGCACTGAAAAGCAAGGGAGGGAGAGCATAGGTAAGGAGAAAAACATGTTTTTGTTTTCCAATTTTACTACTTAAAAAACAAACAAAAAACCCTCTCCTTGGTTCCAGTCTTTGAAAAGTGCACTTCAGGATCCACTTTGAATGTGGTCCTTCCACAGTGGAGGGAATTTGTATAGGTTTCTGCTTCTGGTTCTTTCCTCCACATTTTTGACGTGTTCTCAACGAAATTCCAGCGAAGTCAGCCTCAGGGGAGTCAGGTAGCCTGCAAGCTCGCACACACAACTCAGTCAGGCTTCACCTCGACCCTGCCACGGCAGACCTCCCTGGACTGATCCAGTGTGGAGACCTCAGCACCCGGCATCCACACAAGCTAGCTGGAGAGAGATCAGCAATGTCCACTTCTGCCTGAGTCCCACCCGCTTCACTTAACAATTAAGAATCATTCCACACCCCTGGAATCTGAGGGCTTGCTGCTTTCATCAGAAGGGTCAGGGCCGGATTCACCTTCATTGCTGGGACTAGGCAGATCCTCCCCTACACCTCATAGGAAATGCAAATCAAGTCTTCCAGTTAAACAGTTACACTGGGAAGAAAGACCTGGGCAAGCATTCAGGCTTACTGCACAAATCAGGAGGCAGCAAGAGGATGGAAGAGGACTTCAAGCCACAAGAAAAAGGTTAAGAGTAGCTTAAAGTGACCCAGTGAAGGGTTGGGGGCGATCAGGTGGTTGTGGGATCCATCCTTCCTGAAAGACTTAGCGGGAACCCGTTTCTGCTTCTCCCTTAGAGTGTGTCAGAAGGGGGGAGGAGGGAGGGAAGCCAAAGCGAACCCATAAAAGACAGAGCACCTTTAGAGGGGAGCTGGACACGCACGACCTGTGTTTTCTAATAACAACCTTGCCACCAAGTTGCTGCAACTTTTCTCTAACTCTTAATTGTCCTATAAATTTTGCAAAATTTTTCATTTCACACATCACACCTGCTCTCCAAAACAGCACTTGCATTTTTTTCTCTCCTTGTCCTTACTGCTCTCTGTCAAGTTTCTACAGTAAAAGTCCTGCCCCGATCGCCCCCAAAGTCCTGGTTGTAACTTTGTCGTCAAAGCCTTTGCACCCGGCACTTGTGTCCCCCTTTCCCAAACTCTGCAGCTGTTCAGAACTTCACCGCATGATCACAGCGAGACATAGACATTTCACCCCAATAGCTTAACTGTACACATGCCATCCGTGTGCGAGTGTGTTAAAACAGAACTCGAGATTTCAAACATTTTTTATTGCTTTTCTTAAAAAAACATTTTTCTCACGTAAATGAGTACACCCTCCACCAAAAGAAAAAGCAAACCAACCTTAAGGATTTTTTTTTTTCATAAGTGACTCTTGGGGCTGTTTGGAGGCGACTCCAACCTGTGCGCATCGCGTTCTTCCGCACAGTTCTCTTGCGCTCTTCCCGGAGCCCAAAGTTGTTGCTTCGTGGAACTTTGACTAGATGCGGGAGGAAAAACGCAGTGTGGGAACCGGAGTCTAGAATCGAAAGGCAGCTTTTGGGGCGCTCTACAAGTTAGCCAGGCTGAGGTCCTGTGGAAGGGGCAAGGGATTCCTTCAGTAGGCAAGCCCATTCCCCAAGCCCTGCGGGAAGCTCACCGGTCTTTGGGCGTTGGGGCTGGAGGGCGACTGTCTACTTTTCTACCCTCCACCCACGAAACAAACCAGGGTAAACGTCGGGAGGCCATCTGAGCCGAAACTTCGCACACTTGGACACTTGCACGGACCAAATAAGAAATTTAAGAAATGGAAGAAGAAGAAAAAAACATGTTTGTGGAGAAGGGCATTGGAGCTGCTGCAGCGAGGCCTGGGGCACATCCTGGTGGCGGCTCCGGGATGGAGGACGCACACGGACGCGTGTGCTCGGTGTGGTGGGAGAGCGCGCGAGTGAGTGCGCGAGAGCGAGGCCGCGTTCGCGTGAACGCGGGCAGGGAGACCGGTGCAGGGAGCGCGCCGCGCCAACTGGCCAAGGGTGCCCGGCTGGTGTAGACATGCGCGACCCCCTCACCTGCCCCCCTTGTCACCCCCGAAATCCCGACAATACACGGCCGGCTCGCCGGACTTTCGTGGACTTGGAACTTTTGAGTCTCACTCGTTGCCCACTCTGCAGGCCCGGACACTGGACACTGGGCACTGGGGCCACAGAGCCGGCGGGAACGGGGAGAGGGGGGCGGCACCAAGGTCCCGCTGCCCCCACCCTCCCCTAGACTTAAGAAGCCATCGGCGGTGGGGAGGCCCTGGCAGGCGGGCACGGAGCCGTGGAGGCCCTGATGGTGGCGGCGGGCGGGGCGGGCACTCAGGAGTCGGTGGGGACCGTGGGGGGGGCAGCAGAGGGGAGGAGAACGCAGGGAGGGGAGGAGCCGCGAGGCCCGCGCCGCTTCCGAACCGGAAAGTTGGTCTTGCCGAAGTCCTGCCACCCTAGCGTGCGCACTCCGCTCCGGCCGCGAGCCTCTGAGCCTGGAGGAGCGCCGGAGGACCCCGCAAAGTGGACAAGAGCCGGGAGAGAAAGTCCGGAGACAAGGGCACCTGAGCCGGAACGGGCTGAGCAAGCTGAGCAGCGCGGCGACCGGCTGCCTGCTGAGAACCAAAGGCAGTCGGCCGGCCGGCCGGCCCGGTGCGCAGGCGGTGCGGCGACCGAACGGCCCGGGCGAGACAAAGACGCCTGCCGGGCCGGAGCCCTGCCCGCGGCCGCTCGCTCCGGGAGGGGCCGCCCGGCGGTGGCGGCGGCGGGGGAGGGGGGGGGCGACGGCGCAGACACTCTATAAAGGGGCGAGCCCGGCGCGCCGGCGGAGACGGCGCCGCGCGGACGCCACCAAAGTTTGCAGCCTGCGCGGCGCGTAGGGTTCTTTGCCACGGCCCGCACCGCACCCCGGCCCGCCGAAGCCGCACCTGGGCAGCAGAGGAGCGCGGCTCCCGAGCGCGGTTGCCGGAGCCCGCGATGTGAGAGTCGTGGGGCAGCGCGCACCCAGGTCCGCAGGCGCCGCGGCCCCTCCTCGCCAGCGCGGCTGCTAATTGCGAGAGCGGCCTCATTTGCATAGGCCGCCGGAGTCCGCTGGAGGCCGGCCAATCGGCGCGGCCCTCCGCTAATGGACATGCATTATTCACCAGCCTAATTGCTCAGCCCCATGCGCGGCCCGCGCAGCCGCCGCCACCGCCCCGCGCCCCGCGCCCCGCGCCCGCCCGGCCACCCCGCGCCCACCCCGCGCTGTCCCCGCCGGCCACCCCGCTGATGCCGCTGCCCCGCACGGGGCCGGAGCGCCGCTAGCAGCATGTCTCGGCGCAAGCAGGCCAAGCCCCAGCACCTCAAGTCGGACGAGGAGCTACCGCCGCAGGACGGGGCTTCAGAGCACGGTGAGGGCCGGGGACCTCAGGGTGGCCCGGAGTTCTAGGGCGCCCACCCAGGTTGGGGAAGCGCGGGCGGTGGGAGCAACTGCGTGCGTCTTGGAGTGGGGAAAAGTTCCCCTGGTTACCGCGAGCGAGTGCTAGCTATGAGTCCAGTCCCTCGGTCAGTCTGACCAAACCGGGACCGGTACTCCATCGAAGCGCGCGGGCGCGGAAAAGAGTTGCCGGCCAAGTAAACTTGGCTCCGCTGCTCCGACTTGGGGAGCTGCGTGCGGACCGCGCTACGGCCGGGCCGGCTCCGGGATGGACCAGAATCCGCTGGGCCAGAGACGGAGGCCGGCTCTCCGAGAGCGGGCGGGTGGGGGGGTCCGAGCTGCCGCCTCCCTGTTGCTCTGCGTCTCTGCGCCCCCACCCTGCTTCGGTGGGCCCTGAGCCTCCAGAAACTCCGGGTGTCTGGACTAGTTCAGTACTATCCCCAGGGCGAGCGCAGTAGCGGGGGACGCGTCCGGGGCTCACCTACCGCTAGACGCGGGCCCTGGGAGCCGTCGCCTGGCCAGCTTTGTTCGGCGCCGCGCGTCCTGGTGCCCAGCCGGTGCTCCCCTGGAGCCTACCCGGGGCCCCAAGGCCACCTCGGTGATCCCAGTCTCTGTTGCCTGTCTCCGATATCGCCAGCAGGCCGCATTGGGTGACCCTCAGGCCGCGAACCCCGCGGTGTCCCAGAGCGTTGACAAATCCAATCATCCCTTTCAGGAAGCAAGTGGGAAGTAAATGTCTCTTGGCCTTTCCTTAATGGCCGACTAGGGAATTGTGGGGCGCGAGCACAGCTGTTTCTTTCGGGGGCTAGTGCGTGCATGCGATAGGACCTCAGCACGTTTCTGGCGGATTCCAAGTTTTCCCTTCGGCCTTTTCGTACTCTTTTGGATGCACCGAAATCGGGCGATGGAGATACCTTCGCAGTTACTTCGCTGGTAGCAACTTCCTCCTCGAACCATCCAAAAGTGCAGGGCAGGCGCTATGGAAGTTAGACACTGGAGAAGATGCGAATTTAGTGTGGTTGAACTTTGGCACCCTAAAGTTTGTGGCACCCTGAATCTGTAAACCCTGGGTGCCAGTTTTGGTGCGCCTTGCCAGGGTCCCCAGGGCGCCAGCAAGGAGGCCGAGGAGGGGCAGCCGAGTATGACACGGAGCTTCCCCGACTAGTTCGAGGTGGAATAATTTATTCCTTAAAAGCCAACTTTTATGATCAACCTATTGTAAGTTGTTTAGAGGCAGATACTAAATATTCTTTTAACTGTGAAAACAATACCATCTTCAAAAACAAAACAAAACAAAAACCTAACTCAAGACCCTAACAAATAGGCGGAATGTAGGGGTTTAACACACAGCGTTAAAGTTTGACAAAGCGTGCACGTCGCAGCAGAAAGTGAGAAAATGCCCACAGCAGCCCTGGAATGAATTAAATCCAATGGGACTCCTTGGGTCTTTTTGTTGGTGTGAGGTGAGGGAGCCGGCTTCTCTGCAGCCGAGTCAGCCAAGATTAGAACAGGCGATATGCTAAAAAGAAACGCTTGCATATGTCGGGTAGATTAGGGACAAAGACTCTTTTTGTCATGGAAATGGATTTTTTTTTGTTTTGTTTACTTCTTCACATAGAATTTCTCACACTTGGGTTGTTTTGTATTACCCTCAATGACTACATGATCAAATGAATGGATTTATTTCTGCCGAATGAGAAAGACAGTCTTTCCCTCAAAAGAACTACACTGCATCCCAGTGAGGAATTTTAAAGCTTCATTATTGCGGCTCCTGAATAGCTCAAAATCCGCTTTCACAGCCGCCCTAAAATGCAACAGTGTAAATACTTCTCCGCTTTGTAGGGTCGTTATCAAAATGTGCAATGTCTTCTTTTATTAAAGCATATTTTAATTAATAGAGTAAAACCTCGTGTGTTTAACAGTTAACAAGCTGAGGCACCGTTGTTCATTTTTAATTTCGCTTCAGAAATGTGAGTGTGGTAAAATTAATCGTGTAAACACGTCGGAGGATATATAACCCGGACAGTGTTGAAAACCCCAGATAGTCAATTATTTACGAGTTCTCTTTTGAATTCTGCTCGCTGCTCTAATTTATTTCGAGACTCTCCCATACCCAGGTTTTCCATCCTTTCAGAAGTGGCTTTTTTTTTTTTCTTTTTTAAATCCGGGCAGTGTTTTCTACAGTCGTTCAGGCATCTGATCCCGAGGTTGCCACAGTTCCTCATCATATTTTGCAACAGGCCGAAAATAGCCTGTCTGAGGCTGAGCCCTGATACAGCAGCATGTGCTATTCAGGTTTGAAGGGTAGTTCAGGCAAACTATTAAAACAAGTTCTTTCTGACTGAATTGTTCTGAAGCAGATTGTTCATGGAGCATGAAAGATTCTCCATTCCCTATGAAGTCAAGGAATGCTCATGCTGTCTTAACTGAGATAACCAAGGAAAGTAGTTTGGTTTGGAAAAAAAAGACAAATGGTTGTGTAAACTAAATTACTCCATAGTCATTTCAAATCCTTAATTCTTTTTAGATGCAGAAGAGACAAATATGTGCTGCATGAAGTTATAAGTGAGCTAAGTTTTAGAAATGAAGTAAATGATTCCTTTGTATCACTTTGGGTGTGACATGTTAATTAAAGCACTAGGTCCACCCTGCAGTAAAATTGGAGGCTTTTGTTAATACCATAAGAACAGATAACATATGTTTTAAAAAATGAGAACATTGAAGGCAAAGATGCATAGTCATGTTGATTTCCAGTAGAAACCCAACATTTTTTATGGTTTATATTTCAGGATTTGGTTTTTACACAAACAATGGGGGAAAAAAACAACACATCAATAGCTCTGGTTCTCTCCAGACCTTAGCACTGAAGGAATGAATGACAAATCTGAATGAAAACAAGCCACACTGCCTTATGGAAAGTTCTGGAGTTACCTTGTGATGAAATTTTAATTTTAAGTTACTGAGACTTAAAACCCCATCAGAAACTGTCGTTTTAAATTGCTTATTCACGATTACTTCCCATTTTAGAAATAAATGTAATGCAGCTTTGAGATTCAGTTAGACTTGTGCCACCAGTAACGATATCCTCTGAGGCAGCTGAACATTTTTGCTCTAAGGAAAACTAATTAAAACTTCCAGTGACAGTGCCGCTCTTAAGCCCTACCAAGAACTTTAAAGACATTGCAACCGTGTGCCGGCAAAAAGAAAAAGAAAAGCAGTCCCTAAAGATGCATTTTTCTGTCCTGGGAAAGTCTTGTGTTTAAGGACAAACAAAAGAATGTTGTAATTTAAAACAGTTTTCGAGGATGCATCTTCTTTGTGGGCATTAACTACTTCGTGGTGTTTTTATTTCCTACCAGTTTACAGTATATGGCTATCTTTAAAAATCGTCTCAAATGTGGTGAGTCTGCGACCTAAGAACTAATGAGTGGAATTCATAGACTGCTTAAGTTCAGGGAGAGAAAGCCACCAGTGCTCTGTGAAGAGATCTTTTTTCCTTTTATCTGTATATGCAGGGTTTGCCCCCCCGCCACCCCCAAGACTCGCATTTACAATTCAGCATACCAAAAGGGACAAAACAGAAGCCACTTTTTTACATCCACTGGCAGATTGTTTTCTCTGAAACATGAAAGGTAGGAAAGTAAGTGAAGGGGAAAGAGGGAGGGGAGAACAATTTGCAAACATTTCTTTTTAAAATAACTCTCAAAAACTTAACCTGTTTAAAAATCGTGATCCTAAAATGGGCGCCAATTAGGTCCACCTTAAAGAGAGCTGATTAGCAGACGAATTAGGGAGTTTTTAGAAGGGTGTATTCTAAACTTTCCAAAGCCTTTGCATCATCCAAGGTTTTCGGATGTGTTCAGACTCTAGGAAAGAGAAAGGTGTGGAGCAGCAGCAGGAATTACTTAGCAACACTGATGGTTTCTTTGTATCCAGAATGACGGTGCAAACACAAAAGTGGGTCAGATTTCATATTCAGCTCTACCATCCATCTCCCGGTAGGTAGCTGTAAGAACATTTTTGTTGGGGATGGGGAATGCAACAAACAGGAGCCAAGATTTCTGTTCTAGGAACTGACCATGAGCTGGGATTTAGCATTATGTGTAAGTATTGGCACAAGGTCTTGTGTAAGTAAATTAAAATCCTTTAGGCTGCTCATGGGTTTTTCACCATCTTTTAAGCACAGCGACAGTTTTCAGTGTCATTTTAAAAAAGAATGCAATCAAAGAATGGTCTCCCTTCTCTCTCTTCCTTTACTGTTTTATTGGTTTTTCTTTTCTTCCTTGATTTCTTGACTAGTTAGTTGCCAGTATAAGAAACACCAGTGAATCTTAGACAATATCATGAAGATGTGAGCTAATGCCACTACTGGTGGGACACTTTTGTAATTACAGCGTGTGTTAAGTTACTGCACATTTCCTATACAATCTATGTGAAAATCAAATTTTAGTAATTACTTAAAGGAAACGTGTTTTTAAAAAGTATTTTAGTTTTTCTCTTGTAATTTCAACTCAGTTATGATTTAAGATATAATTAACTATGTGACTGCCAAACAAACAAGGCAAGGCATGCTCCAGGAAGTGAAAAATACAGTTTTTAACAAAATAACGGAATGACCTTTATACTCAAGACTAAGATTGATTTGTTTCTTAATTAAAGGAAAGGGGCTCTGGCCACCAGAGGAAGCTGGTGGTAAGTGAGCGGTTTCTCCTGAGGGTGGACCTTTTCTCCCGCCTCCAGCCTAGTTGTGTGTGCTCTAAGAGGTTCAGCCCCCTTTGCGCCCTTTGAAAGCATGGTGACTTCACAGTATGGCATGGAACCCTTTTAGCTGTGGTCCTAAGCAAGATAGGTGGCAGAATGCTGGCCGGCTTGCGCCTTCTCTTCCCCGAAGGTGAGTTGTTAGGAGTGTTGTGACAAGCCTTTGCCTGCTTCGCCCTGCCAGGGGTGGCCACTAGATGTCAAGCTCATAATACAATTAGTGCATCTGTGCTGTTGACCTTGGCAACGGGACTCACCACTGTTCTGTTAAGTGTGAACTCCGAGTCCGTGCTAACTAGAGATCCCATGAGTTTGTTCCGTACATTACAAGCTTATCAAATGCCATCCAGTTCAGCGCAAGTGTTTATAGCTCTTGGAAGAAGAGAAACCAGCTTGCTTTTGTGTAGCCATTACTTCTTGAACGGTTTAATTAACCCTGCAGGTGCCAGGGCACTTTGTCCTCAAAGTGGCCTCAGATGGAGCTGTTTGATGATAGCCTTGTGTAATTTGTACACATTCGAAGTCACTGGCATCATGGGGTGGGTGGCGGCTTTTTCAGGATGACTTTCTGATTGTATGCAAATTTGTCCCATAGAAATGAAACAGCACCATGAAGTGATGGGAGATGATGGAAATGATTTGATTCCCTAGCCCAGGTTCCTGAAGCCTAATGCTTACAGGTGATCTCAGCGGCTTTCCCGGTTGTGTGACTAGGGCTACTTCAAGGGAGGCATTTTTTTTTTTGCACCAGGTCCATTTTGCTTGCTTTACTCCATCTCTCCCCTATCTCCCCAGCAAGTGATGGGGGGATGGGAGGGTTTGTGCATGCTCTGAAAGTGGATTGCAATGGAACACACACTTTCTAGGAGGAATGTAGTAAAAGGATTTGGAATTCTTTTTTTTTTTAAAGACTTTTTTGTTTGTTTGTTTTATTGTTTTTTTCGAGACAGGGTTTCTCTGTGGCTTTGGAGGCTGTCCTGGAACTAGCTCTTGTAGACCAGGCTGGCCTTGAACTCACAGAGATCCGCCTGCCTCTGCCTCCCAAGTGCTGGGATTAAAGGCGTGCGCCACCAACGCCTGGCCCAGGATTTGGAATTCTTTGTA